TGGAAAAATGAACTGGGCAGGAAAACAGTATATGATCAAGTGTATCCGGAACCAAGTGGCAGAACAGGCATAATCGATCCTCTTTAGGAATATTTGCAAATCGACCGGCATGGTTCGCTGAGGGAAAAATGTTAAATCGGGCTAACATAAATGCTCTTCTTGACCTGGGGTTGATAAGTGAGGAAAAATAATTTGGGTGATAACCAAGTGAAGGGAAAAGGCCAAAAGAGAGCGGGGAACAGGTAGGATTCAGTTTGGCTGCAAGAATCTCAAACTCATGCTGCCAGAGTTTAGATTTAATAAGAGCATGAGCCTGTTGAATTCCTAAATCATTTAGGGTATTAATCTTGTCAAAAATAGCAATGTACAGTAGGACCTCTGTTTCCACTGGATTAGTGTCCACAATTTCAGTGATTTGTGGTTTACCACAGCCCTGTATAAAGCATAGAAGTGGCAGGTCCTTTTGACCTTGTCCCACCTCCTTGCATGTTGTATATATTCACTCATGGTTCCAGGCATTAGCCGTAGATCATGGAATGGATCCCCATGGATCAGGTGGTCCAGATAAGAAGTACCAGATAAGAACTATGTCACTTTGGAAAATACAAAAAATAAAAAAAGGGGACAAAGACAAGAGGTACAGTACTTTGCCTCTTTTTCCATCTGCCCCTAGAGGGGATAAATTGGACAACACTTTCTTTGGTTCAAAAGTTTTTATTAACAATAACTTTAACTAGTTCAAACCCATATTTAACAAGTCTTCATTTGACAATAGTTCACTCTCTTGTTTCATTTCTGTAGTTTGTAACTTGCTCTATGCCTAACTGAAACTGTTCGTTACCTACAAACCAGTTTGTGAAAACTGGGGAGGGAATAGGAGTACATGTATCTTCTCCCAATGGTTCAATTTTTAGGGACAATAAACCCAGCCCCCATACATCTCCCACATGTTCTTTCCTTGGCCTCTGCGGGACTTGGGTGGGAGACCCCTCCAACCGGGAGATGTCCCAAGATAAGTGCATCATGCTCTATTTTGTTGGCCATGTAACTCTCACTCTCTACGCACTCTCTCTCTTTTCTCTGATTGTTCCTCTCCTCAATTTCTCCTGAGTATGGTGCTCTGCATGGGGGCTTGCTTTGCCAATCTTGTTTGGCCACATCTCTTGGTACTTCCAACTGCATCTATTCTCCCAATCATGGGTCCTCCTTCACTATCCAGCCCCAGTTATCTGATAGCTGGTCCTCTGATTAATCCTCTTCCACCCAATAAGTCATTGTCTCACTTTCTTGCTTATCATCTCCTGACAGCAACTGTATGTCCTCTTCCTTCTCTTTTTCTTTTATACCATCCTTCTTTCCATCCCCAGACTTCTATTACCCTCCTGGGTCCTTCCTTCCCACCAAAACCACACTTCTCAACCATTTGCTCCATCCCCAGACTTCTATTACCCTCCTGGGCAGTGCTTACTGCACTCCCCTCTTCATGTCCTGGGGGACTGTTTTTTTTTCTGGTTCTGGCCTCCTGGCTGGGGGAGGGGATGGCACACCAACAAGGAGAGTTTCCTTCTTGCCCCCTTTTTCCACAGGCTGTTCCAGTGGAAATTGTCAACCTCAGCACAGATGGCTCTTTTTCTCCCAGCATTTTCCTCTTACAGCTTTCTGCCTCTACCCCATGGACTCCTGCAATAGGAAGGTTGATTGTAATGGTGTAGATGGGTACAGCAATTTCACTTGTAGAAATCAGCTGGGTCCAGGTTTGAAAAACTTTGAAGCAAACTAGGCACCCCTTTCAGTGTACTCACAACCTGAGATTTGGAAGGAGAGTCATGACTGAGATAGAAACAATCCTTTAAAGTAAAGATATGTTTCTGGAGACCAAAATCATTCAGACAAGATCAATAGCATTCTGACTTTGGTTATTTCTGATTACTATGTATAGATGAGAAAGCTGGACAATAAGAAAATCAGTGGGGGACAAGGTTGGTTTATTTAAAATATGATGTTGGAAGAGATTTTTTAGATACTGTGGGCAACTAGAAGAACCAATAAATGGGTTTTAAATCAATCAAATTAAAAGTCTAGAAGCTAAAATGAGACTATAGTATATGGGGATATAATCAAAATAAAAAAGTAACTGAAAGATAATTTTAGGAAGACTTCAAGGTCACAAGAAGACCTAATGTGAGATGGCTTGACTCCATAAAGGAGGCCACAGCACTTGGACTTCAGGATCTGAGCATGGCTATAGACTAAGGACTTTCAGAAGTCCTTAGTTTATAGCTTTGACATATATCAGAAATGAATTAACAATACGTGGCAGCAACATAAGGCAAATACAGTGCTGCCTCGCTTAGCATTGTTAATTCGTTCCGAAAAAATTGCTGCTAAGCGAAACACGGTTTCCCATTGAAATGCATTGAAAACTGGATAATCCGTTCCAATAGGAACGAATTGCCGTCCTTAAGCGAAAATCGCCGTAGGAAACATCGCTAAGCGAAACGCGGTTCCCCAATTGAAATGCATTGAAACCTATTCAATGCATCTCAATGGGGGAAAAATACAACAATAAATTAAAGAAGAGTCAGAACAAAGTCAAATTTGATTAACAAAGCGTTTATTAAGTGCACGTTATGATTTTAAAACATTTTAAACAGTAAACTCTAACTTTATAAATAACAGGAAAACATTTATAAAACAGCAAACATGAGGCTGTTTAAACCATCGTTAAGCGAAACAGGGGACCCAAAATTTAATCGCTATGCGAAGCATGGTCCCAACCATTGCTAAGCGAAAATTGCCCATAGGGACCATCGTTAAACGAAGCGCAAAAACGCTCCAGAAAAGTCATCGCTAAGCGATTTTGTCGTTAAATGGAGCAATCGCTAAGCGAGGCACTACTGTAATAGAAAAATTATAAGAGTTCCAACTGATAAATAAAGCCAAACTGAATTGCCAACATTTCAAATCTAACTCTCAATTTTTATTTTTGTTTTATCCCTTAAGAAAATTTACACTCCTGCTTGTTCAGAGCTTTATTTAGCATGTAGTGAGTATTTTAACGGCATCCTAAAAAGCAGAGACATCACCTTGCCGACATAGTCAAAGCTTTGATTTTTCCATTAGTGATATATCAAAGTGGGAGCTGGATCATAAAGAAACTTGAGTGCCGAAGAATTGATGCTTTTGAATTATGGTGCTGGAGGAGTCTCTTGAGAGTCCCCTGGACTGCAAGGAGATCAAATCTATCCGTTCTGAAGGAAATCAACCCTGCATGCTCACTGCAAGTAGGCTTCACTACTTTGGCCATCTCATAAGAAGATAAATTTCCCTGGAAAAGACCCTGATGTTGGGAAAGAGTGAAGGCAAGAGGAGAAGGGGACAACAGAGGATGAGATAGTTGGACAGTGTCATCAAAACTATGATCATGATTTTGACCAAACTCTGGGAGGCAGTGGAAGACAAGAGGGTCTGGCGTGCTCTGGTCCATGGGGTCACAAAGAGTTGGACACGACTTAATGACCAAACAACAACAAGCATTTTTAAACCTCACATTATTATTCAGAACTCTCAGAATAACAAATAGGTCCTGTGAAAAAAATGGGCTGAGAAATCTTCCAGAATTGTTTAAATAATACATTATTGAAGCAGATCTTGTTGTTCCAACCACTAGCTTCACTGTAGCATCAAATTATATGAGCTAAATTGGGACATCTTGGCCTAGGTACCTCACTTACAGCTAAAACAACTTACATATTGGCTGAAATCCTGTGGCTTAACAAATAGGTCCTGTGAAAAAAATGGGCTGAGAAATCTTCCAGAATTGTTTAAATAATACATTATTGAAGCAGATCTTGTTGTTCCAACCACTAGCTTCACTGTAGCATCAAATTATATGAGCTAAATTGGGACATCTTGGCCTAGGTACCTCACTTACAGCTAAAACAACTTACATATTGGCTGAAATCCTGTGGCTTAGATGAGGTTCTACTTACACATTGGCTGAAATCCTGTTGCTTAGCATAGTAAATTGCACTAGATGAGGTTCATTGAATCAGTGGGGATTTGCTAAGTCATTTACTCCGTAAGTTCTATTCATTCAAATGGGCCTTCTCTATTTTGACTTACTTTAGTATAGTAACTCACAACTAAGGCAGAACCATTTGAATTAGAGTGGATGACTCATAAAACCCTCTAGTTTGACTTACTTAAGCATCGTAACTCACAACTAGGGCAGAATCATTTGAATTAGAGTGGATGACTCATAAAATCCCCAGAGATTCAATGCACCTATTCTGGTGAAATTGACTAAAAACCAAAGCAAAGTGTTCTGCTTATCAGAGATTCAATGGACCTATGGTGAAAGTTACTAAAAACCAAAGCAAAGTGTTCTGCTTATATACTGCCCCATAGTGCTTAAAACCTCTCTGGGCAGTTTACCCTTCAGTTATGCAAGCTATTCATTGCCTTCCACCCCACCCGCATGAGCTGGGTAATCAATTTATCAAGCATGGAAGGCTGAAAGGCTGGGTCAACCTTAAACAGGCTACCTGAACTCAGGATCAAACTCAGACTTTGAGCAGAGTCTTGACTGCAGCTCTGCAGTTTAACCACTGGGGCCCCAAAGCTCTAATTATGATAACCAACAGGATTTCAGCCATTACTCAGTCATGTTGCTAATGATAAATATATGGGATATAACTGTATTTGGGTACAAGTAGGATTTCTATCATCCTAACTCTAGATCTGTCTCTTGTTGTATTGTAAACATGTCAAAAATGTTTATTCTCTCTAAAATAGCATAGGCAAAGCAAATGCAATATATACATAAGTCCAACATTCTACAAACCTTCTAGAAATGTGTACACTATATTTCTCATCCTTCATCTTTGAGGTTTATGTTTAAAGGAGTTTTATTCTGTGAACAAGACAAAAACTTTTCATGCAATTTTTGTTAATAATGACTAGCATCTTTATATTAAAAGAAGCCAAAAGACCTTTTTCACAATTTATATTATCATATTATTTAAAAAATAATAGTTTCTTTAGAAAACCCTGCAGTTCATTTTTAAAAAATATTAATACAATTTGTTCCATACCTGAAGCATTATGTATATGTTTGCATCATCCCTGTTCTGCCATACTGCCTACTTCATAGCATTTAAACTCAGATTTCCATTGACAGCATAGCAGGATAGATACATCATCCAATTGTGGTTCTCTTTGCTTGGGCTGTTCTTCCTATACTGTACTACCAAAGCTTTGGTGAAAATGTCTAAAGGGCCTTGCCATGGTTGCTGTGCATGGCCTCATACAAGAGGTTACATGCAGCTGAACTTTTCACGCACTTCGCGGGCATTGCTCTTTAGGGTTCTATCTACATTAAGAATTTCATTGTTCACTGTTGAGTCATCCCTGGCCATCAGCTTAGGCTCCTTTATAAACCGTGTAATTTGTGCTAACTGAAGTTGGCTTGAATTGTATGCGATAGCAGGGAAAGTGTTCACTAAGAACAATTGCAGTGGTTTCTTTTTCTCTTTGTAGTGGCACTGGAGGTACCGTAAGAAAGCACTCCTGTATCTTCTGTTGAACAGTGTGTATACAAGCGGGTTGACAGCTGAAGAAAGGTACCCAATCCACACAAAAATGTTAAGCAGGCCGCCAGTTACATCTTCATTGCATGACTCCTTGCAAGTGACTGCCAGCACATTGGTAATGAAAAATGGGCACCACATCACAACAAACAAAAAGAAAACAATCCCAAGGACCTTGGATGCTTTTCGCTCATTATTAATGGATTGTAATGTTCTCCTTCCAGAAAGTCCAGGTTCTTTGCTCAGAGAGCGCTGGAAGAGTTTGCCTGAAGAAAGAGAACTTTGAGGGAAGAAACTGAATGAAGTAATCTTGCTGTTTGAACTGAGACCATTGATGCACAGTGTAGCTTCTTTCTGGAGGGATTTTATGGTTAAAAAATAGGTGATCACCATGATAACAAGGGGTACAAAAAATGCCACAAAGGAGCCTATTAAAATAAAATTATCATCCACAAGTAAGCAACTTCCATTCTTGAAAACTTTTGTATCATCATGTAATCCAAACACAGGAACTGGCACTGAAATACCTAGAATTTAAGTTACAAACAGGAAGATGATCATAAAGCATAGTCATCATAATTTTAAAATACTGTACATGTCCTTCTATGGTTTACCACAAATGGGGCAGAGCTCTGCACTGATAACATTGCTGAAAATGGTGTGGTGCACAAGTCATCACAGTGGAAGAAGAAGGCTGCTGTGTCCTTGAAGTCTGCAGCTTTAATAGGGCAAGCTTGTTTTCCCAAGTGATCCAAAATACTGTAGTTTATACCTATCTTCTTCATTAAACAGCTACAGAATTGATTAAGACAACCCACCTCATTCTGGATTAACAGTTGCTTACAGAATCGTACTCAGAGGGTGGTGATTAATGGGTTACCTTGTTACCTCCTCCAACTTGGAGGAGGTAACAAGTGGGGTACCCCAAGGCTCAATCCTGGGTTCGGTGCTCTTCAACATTTTATTAATGACTTGGATCATTTTGCCCAGCTAGTGGCAGAGCGATTTGTGGATGTCACAAAATTGGGTGAAATAGCTAACAACTTGGAAGATAAGAACGACATTAAAAAGGTATTTGTATATTTATTCATTCATTCATTCATTTTGCCCAGCTAGTGGCAGAGCCACTACTCTGGGCAGCAAACAAATCATAATAACACAGTAGAAACAACTGAAAGAGAGGCTTGAGCACTGGGCTGAAAACAACAGAATTAAATTTAACAGGGATGAGTGCAAAGTTCTACACCTTGGGGAGAAAAAACAAACGCACAGTTACAAGGTGGGGGATATGAAAAAGATTTTGGAATTGTTGTAGATCAAAAGCTGAATATGAGTCAACAGTGATATTGTAGCTGCAAAAAAGATGAATGTTGCTTTAGGATACATTAACAAAAGTGTAATTTCTAAATCCCTCTCTGTTGCATATGAAGGGCCACTGTCACTCATAGTTTGTGACATTTCATCATGGATCTGCTTTGCACCTTTCCCTTGGAGAAACAGGAACTTGATTATGGTCCTATGCTCTTCCACACTGAACTTTTCTGGAGGTACCACCATGTTCACTTTGGACCAAAAAATGAAAGTTAAGTTAAATTCATAGGTAGCTGATTTTTGCACCAATGAATACAGACAAGTTGGCCAATAGACTGCAATTTATAGCTTCCTAGCTCAGTTTTTTTTTCCTAGGGAAGGCTCAATACTTGTCAGCACCCCCTCGGAGTGGTTCTGTCTTTCAGCTTTGCTTCAGAAACCATTTGAGGAGAGTTTCTCTCTACTCAAAATATGTCTACTCAGAAGTCAGTTCAACTGAACTCAACAGGATTTATTTCAAGATAAATGTGCATAGGATTCAGGCCTAAAATAATGATGAATGATGATGAATCAAGTAAAAAAGTAAAGAAAGGGTGTGACTGTGTGTTGGTGAAACAAATGAAGTGATTATAGAAATTGAGCAGCAAGAAGTTGTGGAATGTTTAATAATGTTGAAAGGATGTGGAATGCGAGTTAAGAACATTTGTGTCCCTAAGCAGTAGAGTGCCTTTTGTTCAGTTGCACCTGACTGCAATTCAGTGCCAGTTTAGTACCAACATGGTCACTACACTGAACCAGCCTTAGGCAGGCTGTAGGAGCATTAAGTCCAGGATCCAAAACTGATCAATAACACCACTGTGAGCTTGCACCAGGTGTGCCTGACTGTGCAAGGGAGCTGTCTAGTCCATTGTTATAAGATGGCTGAGTTTGCACCATGTGGCACCATGTGGGTAGGGATGCTCCAAGCAAGGAAAAAGTATATACATCAGCCGCTGATGAATCAAACAGAACATCCAGAGAAAATCAAGTTGTTTTGCTGATGAAAAGGAGTGTGAGTAGCACACATTGGGCATAAAGGAAAGTGATATGTGAGCGAATGAGCTTGACTTGGCTTGCATGCTTTGAGTATGTTCAGGGTCAATCACAGGCTGTAGTGGTTGCATCCCTTTGGCAGCTGGAGTTGTGTGAGATAAAGATTGTAAATAAATGTAGACCAGGATAGTGATGCTGTGCTATTTCATATTTAAAAGGCTCAAAGGTAAAAATCCAAAAAATTGCATAGGGTAAAAACTGGAAATCACATAAAAAGTGTGGGGCAACTTGTCAAATGTCCATCTTGCTCTTGGACTTGCCTGGGTTACATGATTGATGGTGCACTCCGTCACATGCTCTGGCATATATCTGTGAAGATTCTCAGTCATCCAGGTGAGGCTACCTGGAAGCTGAGTCACGGCAACTGGACTTCTTTCTTATTAGGTTGAAACATTTCACTACCCATCCAAGTAGCTTCTTCAGTCTGATGAGAGTTGGTAGGAGATCCCTGGTATATCCTCCACATTGGTTTCACTCCCCCCTGGTCTGAATAGCCTCCTTAGATACTTTGGCATATGATAAATAGCCAGCAAAATATGAAACCCACATGTGGTATAGAACTCAAGCAAGTAGGATTTCACTGTAGAATTCTGGCCACAGATATTTATGGTACCTGAAAGATTTATGAATTTAAGATAGCATAATAAGCCTTTGTGGACTAGAGTCTATTGTTCAAAAGGTGATTTGTGAGATACTGCTTTTTGTGTAAGCAGTGTAGGCTAACACAAATGGGCAAAAACTGATATGCTGACTTTTTACTCTCATTCACATCTCTTTCTTGTCTTTTTGCCTGGAATTGTTTTTCTTAATATCAAATGCTTTTCCCTCACCTGCCTACATAACCCGTCTTAAAAATATGTTTAGAGCATAAGATGGCCCCCTGAGGTAGCTGATGTTTGATGTGAAAAGGCTGCAGATTATTAATTATTTAGTTTACTTTTTTGTATTTTTGTTGTCAGAAAAGTGTAGACACACTTCAAGGGAATTGAAGTTCTGAGTACCATTCACCTTGCTTTTTGTTGCAAGGGGGGCAGCTTTTTAATGGTTTCCTTCAGACAACAATACATATTCAGCCAACCTTAACTTCAGACTAAATTGGCAGGCATGAGGTAAAAAATGTATTTTGCACCAAGGCTAACAGGAAATTACAGCCACCACTGATCACGTGACAGTGGTTTCCGAATCTACCACAGTTCACAGCTTCATGTGGGCTGCAGTGGATAAGCACATGGGCTGGAGCATGAGACAGCAGCTCCTAACTGTGCCAGAGTTCAGTGACTCTGGCCAGATGTACATGTCAGATAAATGATGTAACATCAACGTGTATTAAGAGGCTTCCAAACTGACATGACTTAGTGCACACCTTTCCTCTTATTCTTGTATTATATAGTTGATAGATAGGGGGTTCTGATATAACATATACGAAGTACTGGCTTTACAATTTAAGACAACACATGCTGTTTGATTCACATGTACTTAGCATTCATAATCAGCATTTTACACAAGTAATCATGCCTTGTACCTATAATTGAAATATGAATTCTCACTATAATGATATTCTATATGCATTTTTGTATCAGTATTTATATGTATTCTCTATAGCCAATGTATTTCGTGCTCCTGACCCTTCCCGCTTGGAACATTCCTACATTATCACACAGATAACATTCATAGCGCTTCAGGCAAAAGACTGTAACATGTTTCAAAATACACAATGGTTCACACATTCACAAACCCTGGGATGCAAGTTGGATATTTTTCTCACGTCTACCACGGCCAGTGGGATGGCCCAGCGGGCACACATGGAGTTCAGGAGGCCAATGAGGGGATGCTGTGCTTTATTGTTCTTTGTATAAGTTGCTTTTACCCATTAATGAGGGGGTTCGTTCCGTTTTTAGGAACGACGCCCAGTCATATGTATGTTTGAATAAAATTGGCTTACACATAGACTCATTGATGCACTATTTTATCTGTTTTTCCTGCCGGAGAAGGAAAACCTAAAATTGGGTGGTAACATAGTCCCTATATAATAATAAATAGTTTTGTGAATATTTTTTTAAAATCTGTGTGTGGTGGAGCAGATAGCGTGATAGACTAGAACACAGCAGACCTGGTTTCAAATTCATGGAAATTCATGGGGGTGGTAATAACAGTAGAACTGCTCTTTAAATAACTCACATATCTCGAAACCCCTACTAGCATTGCTCTAAGTCAGATATGATGTGAGAGCACTAACACAATAAAAAAGATGCTGCCGAAGAGAGACAGACAGATAAAAAATGGCCATTTTAAATTGGAGGGTGTGACATCATGTGAAACAATTGAGGTGATGGTAGATTAAGAATTATAAGTGATATGTTGATCCAGCCTCTAACAGGCAGTTCATCTGCGCTGAGCAATCATTCAACTCTCTTTCCCAGTGGAGTCTATCAGATTAAATCATCTAGTGTATTTCATGGACCTGTCTTGGAACCACCACATACCACCTCCCCTTTGGTGGTGATGTCTCTCTTCTGGATGACCAGCAAGAAACTGTGAGCTATTCTGCAGAGTTCACCACACCTTGAGCTGTTTAAGTCAAAATGTTTGTGGATGCTGAACCAAACCATATTAAAAGTGATCCCAATAGCGATCTGTATTATATACTTATCTGGACAGGCCCTTAACATGTCTATGTTCATGGGGATTTCAGGAGAAAAGCTGGGAAATATGAAAATGAGGGAATGGAGATTGGGGTAGAAAGCATACAGTATTTGTCAGTTACCTGACTCTACACTTTCCCCTTCCGTAGACCTTTTCACAGAAACAAAATCCATAAAAACTGTGCTTCTTTACTTGCTTTCTGAAACCCAAATTGCTAACCAGGATTTCTTTTTTTCTTTAAATATTTCTAGCTCACCCTATATCACAGGACTTCAGAGTGGGTAACAAAATTGTATAAAACAATATTGAAGCATAAGGTTTTTAAAAGACTATTTAAGATCAAACAGCACAAAATTAAAAGATTCAGACATGAAAAATACTAAAACCATTGCATTAAAACCTATGCAGGCCACAGTCTTCAACCTCCAAAGTTTCTAATAAATAAGTAGGTCTTGACTTGACACCGAAATGATGCCAACGTCAGCACCAATCCAGCCTCCAAGAGGACGGCATTCCACAGTTAGGGTGCTATGGCAGAAAAAGCCCTCCCCTATTTCTCCACATAATGAACTGCTCTCAGTGGTGGAACACGGAGGAGGCCCTTCCCAGGGATTCATGATACATGTGGGATACACCTTCCATTCTCGTTGTATGTGTGTATGTGAATGCAGTCCCCTTCCTCAAGAAATATCTGGGATGGCACACTCATTTTAATAGATTAATTTTGATATGTGACTCATTTTAAAATGGTTTGCTATGCCTTTGTTAGGTTCTTAAGTATTATCTGGTTTTAGTGTAACAGTGGGATAAAATGCAATAAATGAACAAATAACAATGGCTGTAATGTGCAGTGCATATGTGTGTGTGTGGATGCATGGATGTTAATTTCCCTCAGAAATTAGGAATCAGTTACTGTGCAGTATATAAGGAAACATTGTTCTACTCACCTACTGATATAGTCCAAACAAGAATAATTTTTGCAAATGTCTTTGTTCTCGACTTATAGCGGCTGTGATGAATAGGGCTGCTTATGGCAATATAGCGATCCAGAGAAATGGCACAGAGATGCATAATGGAGGCAGTGGAGAAAAGCACATCTAAATAGATCCACACTGCACAGAGGTTTCTAGGCAGAGGCCACTTATATCCTGTAAGTGAGGAAAGTTATTGGTTTTGGTACATGTAACAAATGGTCAAACTATTTGTCAGTAATTGATAATTGTTCCAAGCATCAATATTTGCAGTTTATTATATTCACTAGACTATTTGATTTACTACTGTTCCCTTGTGGAAAAGGAAGTAAATGTTTCAGGGCTTTCTAAAGGTCTCAAACTTGTGCTATGGATCCCCACATGAGCTTACAGCTGTCTGGAATGCCATTTAGGAAAGATTCTAGAACAAAGGGCAACTTCACTCATCTATGGAAATGATCTTGTCACATATAATAGAACCTTAATGAAAGTTGCAACATAACTTTTTATTTTAAGGAATGTTTGGATCATAATCTCTTGTATGGCTTCTTAGGCAACACAAACCAGGAAAGGGACACTGAAGTATGCAGACTAAAGCAAAGAGTTTAATGGAATAGTGTAGAGATTTTTAAATAGGCAACACTGCCAGAGGGAGAGAAATGGTAAAGAAAAATAAAAAGCCAGAATCATGTCTCACAGGGTTGGCAGGAAATAAATTGAAGACTGAGTGTCTGAAGCCAAACAGAATCCCACAACTTCTGTTTAAGTGTGAGATAGGTGTATACACTACATTCTTCACACAAAAGAAAAACTGCTGGTTTCCTTCTTCATAGTTGGTTTCTTATTGGCTGAAATCCAGTAGAAAGTAAAAACTGAAGTAAGCCTACTTGAATTGATGCACCAACTTCTCACTGATTCAGTGTGCCTACTCTAGTTGTGATTTACTACTGAATGTCTGCCATTGTCTTCATCTGATTTATTTACATAAAAATTTAGGAGAAAGCATGTACTGTATCACTTATTTTTCTCTACCTACTTTGTCACCTTTCTTGATGCTTTGTGGATTTTTGCTTGATGGATTTTTCATCCATAAGAACAAAAAGATCATATGATTATACAGTGGGGTCTTGACTTGAGAACTTAATCTGTATTGGAAGGCGGTTCTCAAGTCAAAAAGTTCTCAGGTCACATCTGCATTTCCCATAGGAATGCATTGAGAACCATTTGATCCGTATCTGCTCTTTTCCGTCCATAGAAACTAATGGGAAGCTGCTATTCTGCCTTCGACCACTAGAGGGGGATATTTTGTTTCTTTTTTTCTTAGGTCAAGAAAGGTTCAGGGAAGGCAGGGAAAATACAGTCCAGGCAGTACAGTCCCGGGCAGTCCGAAGACTGTCTCCCAATCCACTCTCTAAACGCTGGGAGGAGTGAGGAAGCAGACAGGCACCCTTTTCACTGGCCAACAGTTAACTGAAAGTTCAAATTTTGCACTTTCCCTGCCTCCCACGTGGTTTTTTTTCAGTTCTTAACTCAAATCTAAGTACTTAAGTCAAGTCAATATTTTCCTATGAGAGCGGTTCTTAAGTCAAAATGTTCTTAACTCAAGCCGTTCTTAAGTCAAGACCCCACTGTATTGAAGCTACAGTATTTGCAAGAACATTGCAACAGTCTGATTTAATCTTTTCAAAGTTGTGGTCAGGAGATTTTAATTTGTGCTTTAACAAACATCTTACATTATCTTACATTAACCTCTGAATTAAATTTCCTATGAGAGCGGTTCTTAAGTCAAAATGTTCTTAACTCAAGCCGTTCTTAAGTCAAGACCCCACTGTATTGAAGCTACAGTATTTGCAAGAACATTGCAACAGTCTGATTTAATCTTTTCAAAGTTGTGGTCAGGAGATTTTAATTTGTGCTTTAACAAACATCTTACATTATCTTACATTAACCTCTGAATTAAATTTTCCATGAATATATAATATTTTAATATATTTTTAATTAATTTTTAATAAAGATTATTGTACAATAATACAAATCAGACAAATTTCAACTATAGATGTTCATCATATACATAATCATTATTTATTTTTAAAAGAACATCTTTCTGAAACTCAGAATGTGAGATTAGAAGGTACCAAAATTATTTATTGGAATTCATATACTCTAAAAGGGGAAGCCAAATTTGTAGAAACTCAGTTGATTTTTCACTATATTTGCATGCCAGTTATGGTGGACAAAGCGCTTGATCACTACCTGGCCACCACCTCCTCTCTTGAGCCTTGCCCGGCCTGGCTAATCAAAGTAGGCAGGCCTGTAACAACTGAATGAGCTATTGCGTTAATTAATGGGTCTCTCCAGGAGGGCAAGGTTCCTCTTGCCCTCAAGGATACACTCATTAGGCCCATAAGAAAGAAACCAAATTTGGCGGTGGAAGATATTGGCAATTATAGGCCCGTCGCCAATGTTTCTTTTCTTAGTAAGTGGTTGAAGGGGTTGTGGCTGATCAGCTTCAGGCTCTTTTGGATGAAACCAATGCCCTGGATCCATTCCAGTCAGGCTTCAGGCCACGCCATGGCACAGAAATGGCACTGGTCACACTGTTAGATGACCTGTTGAGGGAGGCTGACAGGGGCAAAGTGTCCTTGTTGGTCCTCCTTGATATCTCAGTGGCCTTTGATACTGTTGACCACGATATCCTCCTGGGGAGGCTCTCCGAGTTGGGAATCGGTGGCCTGGTGCTTGCCTGGCTCCGATCCTACTTTGAGGACCGTTCTCAGAGAGTTCAGCTTGGGGAGAGCGTCTTGGCCCCGTGGAGCCTCAATTGTGGGGTTCCACAGGCCAGACCATCTCCCCAATGCTGTTAATATCCATATGAGGCCGCTGGGTGGGGTCATCAGGGGGTATGGTTATGACACCCAGTTCTACATATCCTTTTCACCTACTTCAGTGGATGCCGTTCTGTCCCTTCAGCGTTGCCCTTCAGCGTTCTGTCCCTTCAGCGTTGTACTGCAATGGATGCAGGAGAATGGACTGAGGCTGAACTCGGACAAGACGGAGATCCTGAGGGTGGGTGGCCCCTCCATTGGTGGCTTGGGAAACTCCCTCTCTTTTTTGGGGGGGTGACTCTTGCCGCGAAGAGTGAGGTTCGCAGCTTGTCAGTACACCTGGACCCGGCACTCACCATGGAAACCCAGGTGGCGTCAGTAGTCTGTTCCGCCAATTACCATCTGTGGCGGGTTGCCCAGCTGTGTCCCTATCTTGATGGTGGGGCGCTCACCACTTTGGTCCATGTGCTTGTAATCACGAGATTAGACCACTGCAACACACTTTACGTGGGGCTACCTTTGAGATTAATGCAGAAGCTTCAAATGGTGCAGAATGCGGCAGCCAGATTACTTAGTGGAGCAAGAAAATTCCAGCATATCTCTCCTATTCTGGCTGCTTTGAATTGGCTTCCCATTTGTTTCCGCATTGACTTCAAAGTGTTAATGATCACGTATAAAGCCCTAAACGGTTTAGGACCTCGATACCTGGCAGAACGCCTTCTCCCACCTAGATCTAGTCGAGTCACTCGCCAGAGCCAGTTTAATCCATGATACTATCCCTGCAAATGTGAGTGTGGGGTAAAAATTGAAAAATATATTTTAATAATTTAATATAAATTCTAACCAACATGGGCATTAATTTTGAATTATGCTTATAGAAAATGTAAATATGGCCAAAATCCTATTGCACACCTCTTTTTGTTCAACAATGATGTTGTCATCAGCAACATATCACTGTTGATTAAAGGCTTCCTTTGACAATTTGTCTTTAATCAACAGTGATTTGCCACAGAGGATGATGTCATCCCTGTAGCTCATGCAGAGCTAAGCCACAGGATTTCAGCTAGTGTCTTTAATGCAACCTGTGACAACATTCTTAGATTTTAGATCATGCATTACAAACCTATGGATTTCTTGTTGACATTGGACTCCGACTCCCATCAGCCCCAACTGGCATGGCCAGTAGTCAAGAGAGAATTTTACAGCGGCAACATTTTGACAGCCATTTTGTTCCACGCCTCTGTTTTAGACCTTGGCCTAATTTGATAACAATAAGGTAGGCACCAGGGGAAAGAATACTAGAAAAAGTGAAAAGAATGGAGCTAATGTTTAATATTATCCTATACTAGCTTTAGTATCATCTAGTTTAGTATTATCCTATACTCTGCTGGTTTAGAGTTTAAATAAAGTGATTTGCTGTTGCTGATTACATCATTACTAGCTTGATCTCTGTCAATTCATCTGGAGAATATAGATTTAGAACAGCTTTTAATTAATAAAATTAAATGTATGCATTTAAATGTATATACTCTTATTTTTGATGTTTACTAATGAAATTATATATGTGAGTAAAGTTTCAGTTCAATTATATTACACACTTCCTCCCCCAAATCCACTGTTTCATCTTGCTTTCCCCACCTTCTCCTTTTACTGCAAAAGTAGTTGAAGTGATGGAAAAATCAATATATCACAGAATGCAAATCACTTTATTTAATCCCTAGACCAGTACTCACTTCTTACCAGTGATATCATTTACATATGCTGAAATCCTGGCCAGTGTGGCTTGTGGCATAGTGGAGAGAGTGTTGGACTAAGACTCAGGAGACGTGACTTGCAACCTCTGCTCAGCCATGGAACTCACTGAGAGAGCATGGCAATAATAAATCACTCCTTGCACATCTCATATACCTTGAAAAGCCTATGAGGGCCATCATAATTGGAAGCAACTTCACAGTATGGGATATGTAACATATTGTTATTTACCTATGCATAACATCATAATGGCAGTGCAATCTCACAGACCTCACTGTTGGAATGAGAAGATGACCTTAAAATACACCAATAGTCATTTGTTTGTGTCCTCAAAGGTGTGGACACTTTGTTTTACACTTATTTCCCCCAGATGAACCTGTTGGATACCTGGTATGTGGGCTGCAAGTCCTTAGCCACCACAGTTCAAAGGTCTATTGGTTTCTCAGTGTGCCTTCTTTGACTGTAGAATCTGAATTCTTAACCTATCTCATCTAATATTCTGAAAGTAATAGCGTTGGCATACATTTTAACTATAGAACAGCATATTATGCAAAAAACTGACCATGCATTGCCATTTTAGCAATTATGATAGCTTCATATAAATATAAGAATATAGATTATTGTATTTGCGAAGGCTTTCACGGCCGGGATCTAATGGTTGTTGTGGGTTTTTCGGGCTTCTTGGCCGTGTTCTGAAAGTGGTTCTTCCTAACGTTTCGCCAGTCTCTGTGGCTGGCATCTTCAGAGGACAGCAAACTGTGCTCTGGGTAGGCTTGAGAGTGGGTGGAGTATTTGTGGCTGTGAGAAGGCTAGTTTGTGAGGTAGGCTATTGTCCTAATCAGGAGATGGTTGATTAATGTGTTTTGTTGTGGATGTATTGTTTTGATAAGGAGGGGAGATTATCTGTCCCTGTGGTTGATGGGTGTCATTAGCTGGTCTTTTGTGTGCAGTAA